ATCAATTGCAATATTATGGCCAGACTTGAACACAACGTTCAGAAACATCGTATAGTCACTAATGCTTTAATGTGAGACAAACTCAATTTATACGAATTTATAATTATTTCAATAAAATTACTATAAAAATGTGATTCACTTTCAAATATGTAGTCAAACACTGTATACAACGGCTAACTAACAAGTGTTCGCTTATTATTAGTTTTAAGACATTCAGTACAGTATTGTTCAGTATGTGTAGGGTGAGGTCAAAGTTTATAAATATTGGGGATTGTTAGCTTAAACATAATGATAGGTGGGAGCTTATGGGAAAGGGCTTTAACAATGCTGTACATTCAATACAATCGGGAAAATATTAAGAATATTCTGGAAAAGTTACCATGATAACCAGTACATGACAAACACAGTGCAACTAAAGTCGGGGTAAAATTAAATTAGTTTTCTTCTCCAGGCGTCTCACACTTTTTGTGGTCACTCTGGATCTGCTCTCTTTGCTATCGTTGCCATCAGCCATACCTTCCGGCGCTATCAGCGCCTTCACGTCATTGTCTTCATTCATATCATTCAACAAACTGTTCGTTACTTTCAATTGATTACGGATTTCATTAAACATATCGATGACAGTCCATTGCCATCAGCCATACCTTCCGGCGCTATCAGCGCCTTCACGTCATTGTCTTCATTCATATCATTCAACAAACTGTTCGTTACTTTCAATTGATTACGGATTTCATTAAACATATCGATGACAGTCCTCGGCGTCAATGCCTCGCTTGAAGTGACATTCAATGGGTTTTGTGATGCCTTTCCCTCAGATGTTGTATTAGTCTTTGAAAGTCTATTTGTGACAAAAAATAACACAAAAAACTTATTAATCATAAAAGCATGAGATAAACACTAATCCTATAAATAATGAAACTCTTCATACAATTACAACTAATTTTTGAGTCTAACTTTAAAAGTGTCTAAAAAGTTATGAAAACTTTTTTATTGGACACAAACCTCGCCTTCAATTCATTGAACTCGCGCCTCAACTCCTTGTACTGACTGTCAATACGGACGGCCGTCTCCCTGAGCGCCACCGTCTCGTCCATATCATGTCTTTTCCGTCCCATTCCTTTGTCTCAAACCAGCCCTTTATCTCATCCCTCATGGCATCCAAATCCGTGTCCACCGACGCCTTCAGCGCCGACATCTAGTCCGTCAAGAACTCAAAGTCGGACGGCTTCTCATACTTCTTGGCGATTGCGAACACAAAAGTGAACCAGGTCACCACCATAAAGCATATTATGATCATCCCTAACCATATGCGTAATGGTTTGCGCTTTTCAGGGTTCATTTCATACATATTCTTGCGGTTATCAAACGCTTTCCAACAGAAAGCACACGTAAATGGTGTGCCCTTTGGCCCGGTAGTCGACTTACTTTTACTGTACGACAGAAAGAAAAATGATTTCAATTAATATTACTTTAAATGCTAATCAATTGAATCAATCAATATTTAAATACTTGTGAGAAGTGTTGCGATTGTTTGCTATATTATTAGCTCATTTGCGGCTCATTTGCTGGGATTTAGCGGTTTGTTTGCGTTTGGGGTCCGGTATGCGATGGACACTCCACTTGTGTCCAATGAGCGTCACCTCATTTCTATAACTTTGGTCACAACTATTGACATCACATTTAAACTCATTTGCTGGGATTTAGCGGTTTGTTTGCGTTTGGGGTCCGGTATGCGATGGACACTCCACTTGTGTCCAATGAGCGTCACCTCATTTCTATAACTTTGGTCACAACTATTGACATCACATTTAAATGGCTTTTCTGGAGTCACTGTCAGCTCATCAGTTGTGGTATTCACATGAGATTCTAATGTATGACTACTTGTTTGGGCGCCGGTATCTACAGTATTGTCTTCAATGGATTCATTGGAGTATTCATTGAATTCGTTTGAAGGATGGAAGTGATCGGCGACGAGGAGCTAATTATCACCGGCTGTTGTATATCAGTCGCAGCCATGTTTGTAACACGCGGTGAAGTGTTGAGCACCGGTAGTAAGTCATCGGCAATGTGGTGACACTCTCGCAAGTGATTACTAAACCCTTCACTACTATTGCATCCAGAGTGACCAGATCCCAAGTATTTGACTTGATATTCAAGTATTTGGGGTGTTTGTCAAGTGACAAGGCAAGGGGTAATACTTGACATTATAATGTCAAGTATTTTATTTTACATAATTATTAATGAAATTATGTAAAATCGCTACCAAATAGCAAAATAACCTGATAGATATTGTACTATTCTTATATTAATTATTAATTTTTATGATAAGTAACCTAAAAACATGATCTTGAAAACTGATCTTTCAACATGATTGAAATAAGATACTTGAAAACATTATGAATTTTTGGTTATTCTATTGATTTTTATAATAATAAAGTATATGGAAATAACCTCTATTGTCCAGATTAATACTTGAAATTTATTTGACAAGTATTTGTTTTTAAAATAAAATAACAATTAATCATAAATTTTTAATTGAAAAAATGACACTTAATCATAGAAAGCTAAAACAATTTAAAGAGATATTTTCCCTATTAGTTAAAGAACACTGTCATAATACAATACAGAAATGGCTAAGCTGGCACTCGGGATTTTTAAATTGGATATGAAAGACCATTCAATGCTGAGGGAAAGGCATCACAAAACCCATTGAATGTCACTTCAAGCGAGGCATTGACGCCGAGGACTGTCATCGATATGTTTAATGAAATCCGTAATCAATTGAAAGTAA